CCGCTTCATGTCGTCACAGGCCGGGCTGTCACAAGCCTCAAGCCGGGACCCTGTGTTTTCTCCCGCACACGGAGGAATCAGGTGAGTGTTACATTTCACACCCAGACTCCACCCTCTGCCGTCACAGGCCTCGGGCCGAGTCCCTGTGTTCCACCACGCTGCCCCATCATGGGTACATCAGTGGCTCCGTTGGTTCCTCTGGCACGGTCTCTCGGAGCCTGGTTAGCGCTCCCCAGTCCATCTGGGTGGCTCCTGCGGACCATCAGACTCGGCTACGCGATTCAGTTCGCCTGGCGTCCCCCCAAGTTCAGGGGCATCCGGTTTACTTCAGTCAAGGCTGCCGATGCCCCTGTCTTGCGTGCGGAAATCGCAGTCCTGCTGGTGAAGGTTGCGATAGAGCCGGTCCCTCCAGCCGATATGAGGTAAGGGTTTTACAGCCCTTACTTCATTGTGCCCAAGAAAAGCGATGGGTTACGACTGATCTTGAATCTGCGAGTTTTGAACAGTGCGCTTTACATGCTGCCGTTCAAGATGTTGACGCAATAACACATTTTCGAGTGCATCTGTCCCCAAGATTGGTTTGCAGTGATCGACCTGAAGGACGCGCACTTTCATGCCTCGATCCACCCGCGGCACAGGCCATTCCTGTGGTTCGCGTTCGAGGGTCGGGCATGTCAGTACCATGATCAGTACCTGATCACCAAGTACCTAAATTCCTGCCCTTCGGGCACCTCAGCCAGTTGGGTCTTCAGGTCAACTGAGAAAAGAGCAAACTCGTGCTAACACAGAGGATCTCTTTTCTCGGCATGGAGTTGGATTCGGTCAGCCAGACAGCACGCCTCACACAGGAACGTGCTCAGTCGGTGCTGAACTGCCTCAAGACTTTATCAGGCAGGACGGCGGTCCCACTGAAATTCTTTCGGAGGCTCCTGGGGCATATGGCTGCAGCTGCGGTGGTAGTTCCGCTCGGTTTGCTCCATATGAGACCACTTCAGCACTGGCTCCATGGCCGAGTTCCGAGGTGGGTGTGGCGACGCGGTATTCACCGGGTTCAGATTACACTGGCCTGCCGCAAAACCTTCAGCCCGTGGTCAGATCCCTCATTTCTTTGGGCAGGAGTGCCCCTAAAACAGTTATCCAGGCATGCTGTGGTATTCACGGATGCCACCGGCTGGGGGGGGGGCACGTACAACGGGCACGCAGTGTCAGGGGTTTGGACGGGTTCCCAACTGCGTTGGCATATAAATTGCCTTGAGTTGCTAGCAGTACGCCTTGCCCTGAGCTGCCTCAGAGGGCGCCTTCAGGGCAGGGACGTTCTGGTCCGCACGGACACTGCGACCGTTGCGTATATCAACCGGCAAGGCGGTTTGAGGTCATCTGAACCTCGAAGCATCTGAGGTCCCTTCGTGCCATCCACATCCCGGGTGTGTTCAATCAGGCAGCCGACGAGCTGTCTCGAGCAGCACTTCCAGGAGAGTGGAGACTCCACCCCCAGGGGGTTCAGCTGATCTGGAGACGGTTCGGAGTTGCTCAGGTAGACCTGTTTGCATCTCCAGAAACCACCCATTGCCAGGTGTTCTACTCCCTAACCGAGGCAATGCTCGGCATGGACGCACAGGCACAAATATGCGTTCCCCCCAGTGAGCCTCCTCGCACAGACACTGTGCAAGATCAGGGAGGACTAGGAGCAGGTCTTGTTAGTGGCTCCATATTGGCCCAACAGGACCTGGTTCCCGGAACTGATGCTCCTCGCGACAGCCCCTCCCTGGCCAATTCCTCTGAGGAAGGATCTGCTTTCTCAGAGATGGGGCAACCCTTGGAACCTGTGTCCAGACCTGTGGAAACTCCATGTGTGGTCCCTGGATGGGACGCAGAGATTCTAAGTGACCTACCCCAGGAGGCAGCTCTCACTATCGACAGGCCTATGCGCTGAAGTGGAACCTGTTCGTCGAATGGTGTTCTTCCCACTGGGAGGACCCCCAGAGATGTTCGATCAGAGCCGTGCTACCCTTCTTGCAGCAAGGTTTGGAGCGTAGGCTGTCCCCCTCCACCCTTAATAAGGTTTACTTTGCTGCTATTTCGGCCCAGCACGACCCCATAGAGGGGAGGTCGGTGGGGAAGCATGATCTGGTCGTCAGGTTTCTTAGTGGGGCCAGGAGGTTAAATCCTCCTAGGCCTCCCTCCCTACCCTCTTCGGACTTGGCATTGGTGCTAAAAGCCCTACAAACCAGTGCAACACTGAGACCCCGGCCCGGCTACGTGCCCAAGGTTCCTACTACTCCCTTCAGGGACCAGGTAGTGAACCTGCTAGCGCTGCCCCTGGAGGAGGCAGACCCAGCCCTAGCTTTGCTCTGTCCTGTACGCACACTGTGGCCGTACGTGGATAGAGTTTTAGGACCTCAGAACAGCTCTTTGTCTGTTTAGGTGGACAGCAGAAGGGGAAAGCTGGCTCCAAGAAGAGGATGGCCCACTGGATAGTGGATGCCATCACCTTGGCCTATGGAGCACAAGGTGTGCCCTGCCCGCTCAGGCTGCATGCTCACTCCACCAGGGGTGTCGCATCATCCTGGGCGCTGGCTCATGGTGCCTCGCTAGCAGACATTTGTAGAGCACACTTTCCCAGTGTATCCAAGTCCTACTGTTGGGTTGTGAGGAACAACTGTAGTCGACCTTCTCTGTGTAGAACCCGGTCCTATCGTCTGCCTTATATGAAGGATCAGGAAGGCTACACAGGGCACTGGAGGGGACAGCACCTGTGGCATGTTAGTAGGGATCCCAATTCGTCGGTCATCACCGACGTGACATCAAGAGTGACCGACTGAAAGGGAACTGATGTTTCCTTCAGGCTGTAGATCTGCTGAATATTAAATGGTACCATAGCTTCATGTTTTTATTTCTCTTCTCTTTACTGCTTAAGCTTTAAC